AATTTATGCGTCAAGTCCACCCTCACAATTAAGTTTAATATGAGTTTATCATTTCAGAAGACCAATCTAGAAGTATGTGTATTCATTGTAAAGCACATCATAATTGAATTGCTCACTAAACCTTCAAGAGCTCTGATATCATAAGAAATGTTTAGAGTGTGTAAATTTTGAGGTAATGTTATTTACTTTTCTTGTCGTTATATTTGGAATTGTTTTAGTCATTTGAACTATTCCAAATAAAAGAAATTAGGTATATGTTCTGGGAAAACATCAATACTAACAATCCTCACAAAATGGCTCAATGCTAAGGTCAGACAAAATAGCTCAAAATTTTGAGGCTTAAGCCTCATACATTTATGTGCAGCTAAAACTTCGGGATTTTTTTTTATCGTATTTAACATTGTAGATTGAATAATTCCTATAAAAGAAGGTTGTTAGTAGAAAATAAAATAAAATAAAAGTGTAAGATTTATAATCCAAAAATTTGAAAATTATTCGGCACCTTAGGTATTATAATGAGATGAGTCCCATTTCTTATTTTCTTCCAATGATTGTTTGAAAATTGATAGCATTGTCTTTCGTTAGGCAATGACTTAAAGTGATATTATCAACAGAATTGAAGGAACATAAACAAATAACCTCGCTTTAAGCTCTTTTGGATTCATTTGTACATGAATGTTTCTTATCCACTAAAGACTGTATATGATTAATGGAGTTGTTGCCCGATTCAATAAATAAAGAATATGTGTGATTGCCTGTGAACAAATTGAAATTATCAACAGAGCATAAACCCTACAATAGCGCATAAACCTAATTCAACAACATTTTCATAAAAAAGGTATTCAGAAATGGCACCGCCCCAGCCTAAGCCGCAGCCCCAACCTCAACCTCAGCCCCAGCCCCAGCCCTTTAAGGGAAAGACGTCTCGAACAAACTCCCAAAAGGTTGGAGTCGAGGAGAGTCAAGAAACATAGAATAAATGAGAAGGATGGGCTTGGCTATTATTCTGAAGAAGAATCCAGCAATTTAGCCCTTGGGAGCAGAGGTCCCAAAGGGCAGTCCAATACTTTGACCAAGTGTTGCAGCATTTTAAAGCTGAAAAAATGGATCTCTAACATGGCAAAAAACGAGCAGAACCCAGCCCAAATGAATAGATTTCAACTTGTGTATTAGTCAATAACTAATACACAGAGCACACATGTCAGCTTTGACTTCGTACATTACAACCTATTTAATTAATAACATTACATTTTGATTACATTTTGGGATAAGGATTTGAACATCATACTACTCACCCTCTCTCGATGCTCGGTTCACTAGAATAATAACAACTTAAGTCCACCAACGGTGGTCATAATCCATCCACTGAACGCGGTGAGAGACCCTCAAAGCAACAATCTTGCGGTCCAAACAATAGTTTTGTATGGTCAAGATAGAACGGTCTCTACGATAAGGAGTGCGAAAGTGGCAAACTCTAATGCACATAACTGTACACACCTTTAACGCACGACTATATATCTCCCAAATGAGTGAAAGAGATAGAACAATGGAAACAGCCCACCAAACAAATAGTCAGAGTGACTCAGGTGTGAGGTCACTCCAAGGCATCCCCACAAGGGGGGTATTTTAGGGGTATCATTTGGTGAAGAGTAAACGAGCCCATCCTAGTTTGAAAATTAACCTAGTATAGCGAGCATCTTTCAGATATAAGTCTTTGTTCTCAAAATTGCAAATGATTAAACCAACTTGGATGGTTAGTGGGCGAAGATGAAAACATAGGAGCAGGCAAGCAACTAGGTGAGGTTAGGGCGTGATTCAGAGTAACGTGTTAGGAATACATTTTATTATGTTGCATTTTTATCTTTGTATTTGTTTATTAATTATATTAGTTAATTAGATCGCGTGAGCTTTGTATTTGGATCAATAAGCCTTATAATACAGAAGCTTAACGTTAAGATATTATATATCTAAAGGCTAAGCTTCTGTAAACCTAATCGTTAAACTTTTGGTTGAGTAGACATTCATATTATATCAGAGCGAAAGGAGAGTTGTTGTTTCATTGTAGCATATTGAATATGCTGATTTGAAAACATTATCGATCTACCATTCTCATATTGAATATAGCTTTCAATACTCTCATCTACTCTCTATTGTGCTATATTATTTTTTATGACTGTGTATATTTAGACTTACCATTGGTATCAGAGCAGAACATGTAAACGATTGAGTCCATCTGCATTTTTTCTTTGTCATTTCTCAGTGAAGAACTTGATTAATTAACATCATTTTATTCCAGTATTGATGCTCTAAATACTCAAGAAAATCCATGGCTGAGCTCAATTTGATATGTTAAATATTTGGGTACCCTTTTTAATCAAATATCAAAATCCCTAAAAACTCATCTTTCTGAACAAACTTCTTCAATTTTTCACACCAACAAACTTCTTTGAACCAATCTGTAAAGTTTTCCATTTGTAAACCTCTTCTCAAGCCTCGCTCAAAAAAAGGAAGGGCAAAATGGTCTTATGAGGCCCTCTGAATATTTCAGTTATCGTGTCCACAAGTCAGCCCGGAGTGGGGGTGCAAATTTCCGATTTTGAACTTCTAGACTGAATTTCATATCCGACAATCCAAAATGGATGCCTGCTCAAACTCGCATCATCATTTCCTGACAATCAATGTGTTGTATCTTTAGATGAGTTTGAGCTGAGTTAAGTATTTGTAATTCCAATTTCACAAAACACTTACATTCTTTAAAGGATAAAATATATTCCACGAGTAAAGAACTTAATGCACAAGAGAATATTACTACCTCAAGTCTAAGGCAGAAAACTCCGAAGCAAGAATTTGAAACTTAACTGAATAACTAAATGCTACCGTACTCGAACGATTCACAACTGTTAAAGCACACTTACGAGACTATTTGGGAGAAACAAAAAAGATTATACTCTACGATCAAAGACCTGGAAGACATCCTTGCTAAAAGAGGCCAAACAGAACAAACATTTTTCTTGAAGCAACTTAATGACAATGGATTCTACGATCTTAAGCAAGACTCGGAATTTAAAAATCAGTGTAACTTAAAAAGGAAACTTCACATCAGTTCTATGAGATAAGATACATGCGCTTAGGTCTAACTTCTTTGATACATTTTACTCGAGCATATAAATCAGTGTCATAGAATGGGAGAAAATAGACAAGCCAAGCCTGAAGTCTCTTTGAGTAATAGCTATAAAATACAGGGAATTCCCTTATCTATATATGGACTAAGATTCAATCTAGCTATTAGGAGAAGGGTCATATATTTTCGAAAACCCTAAAACTGATGGTGTTTACATTTCAGAGATCATGCATAAAATTGCGGATTTGCACATATATTTGGAAACTATGGATTATCTGAACAATTATACTTTGTCACCTTCCTACAAATTGTAAGTGAATGCTTACAAACAAATTATACTCAATTGACGACAACTGAACACTTATTTTTAATAACCCATACACTATTAGTGTAAAAGTTAAAAAATGTAAAAGTTAAAAATTAAGAGTGCAAAAGATAAAAGTGGTGAAATGTTCATATTTCAATAACAGTCAAACTTAGCAATAGCGTGACGAAGTTCAATACATGATCAAATAAATCTAAGAATAACCCATCCTCATTCTTCAAATCTCGTATATGTTTCTTAGAGTTCTCAATAATATGCCACATATAAAGACATTACTTGGACAAAGGAGAGACTTTAGATATTGCAGTTGTCGTGGAGGCTTGACCTTCATACAATTTTGGAGTGCAAAGAATGCACTACACGGAGAAATATTAAAAAGCATGCACTCAGAATACTCAATTTTCTCATTGAGTAGAAAAGTCTCATTTCATGTCAATATGTCATACTTGTCGATCTGTAGGAGAAATGGTATTATGAACAATGAACTCACCAAAAGCTAAAAAAATCCTTTATTCCATCTACCTGTTCTTGTCTCTCCAAAAAATAACTAACTAATGGACCTTCCATATCTATCTCAATAGAAAGATAAAAGCACTTCATTTAACGATCTACAATCACATCCAAACATTAGTCCCAAATGAGGCTAGGATCGACCCATTCAACTATCTATTCCTAAAAATATCTTCTCCACTCAGATCAATTGTCTATTCCTAAAAATGTCTATTTGTTATGTGTCAGAATCACAACAATAAAAGACATATAATTTGTTGTCCCAGTTTGTGGTCATCCCGCAAAATAAAATCAACAAAGGAGAACCACTAGCCTTTGCTTCTAAACAACGAAACCCATCAACACTATTAACTCAGTTCATTTCCATATAATATATTTATTTATCTCACCAGAGGAATACCCAACATGATCTATTAATGAACTTTGAAAAAAATGGTGATTGTGATCTTTAAAATGCCTAACAATAACCCAATCACCACTACTCTTAATCTCAAAATAAATCGTTGCCTTACAACGAGTACCAACTCGTCAACTTGTGTGCATTGCTTACCACTCACACCTTCATCCCTTTTCAAATCTTGCTTAGTACAAAAGTCTCTTCCCCTAAAATCATAACCATCTCTCTTCCTTAAAGTATAATATTGAGTCCAAAACCAATCCTAAAAGCATAATCATTATACAAACAAATGCTTATTTCTCTAAAAACGTAGTTTTTCCATGAGCTCATAAACTCTAAATTCTATAACTAATACGAAGTACAATTTTTATAAAAAAAATCATTATACTGTCATATACGTTCAAAAGTAGAATTGAAGAGAATGATCAACTGCACAAATAAAAAGAAGAAGAAACTACAATTATAACATGCAAATGCAACAAGAATACATTAGATAGGGGATGAAAACAATATATGATCATATAGCTACAATAGTTGAAATAAGTAACACTATTGGGTTAATGTTACCTATTTGATGTAACATTAGGACAAAAAAGTGTAATAGTATAGTTTCTCATAAAAATTGAGATGTATCTATGTACGAAACCATAAAAAATTCCAAAATTTTGATTTTTCCTTGAGCAATAAAATCATGTACGAACACATTCATTCCTATAATTAGTTGCCACTCAAACTCATAAACTATGACACGCACCAAGAATAACAAGAGAGTCAGGCTTTAAGTGACAACAACAAATTAACTTGCTAACACTATCACTTTTAAGTTTTAATACTTAATCAACAATAATAGGTATTATGAGAGAGAGCTAGGTTGGAGGTTGGAGAAGCCAGGAGTGAGCATGAATGAAATACGGGCCAATGAATGGCAAAGCCTCTTGTTTTGTGAGGGTTCTGGCCCATGGCACTCTTCTTGTGGTGTTGGCTCCCGGCCCACTACACTTGTACTCTCCATAGTACACTTTCCTGATAATATATGTACACAAGCACCATTATTAACCAATCCAAAAACCCACATCCAAAATAAATCCGATAAATGAACAATAGTTATTTTTGTAGTGTATGTCAATATACAAAAACGTGAAAAAAGGTATCCACCAATATAACTTCAATATAACTTCACAATGATTCAATGAACCTTTGGATAAACTTTAGTAAACTTTGGCTATAAAAATATACACCCACGAGTGGAACTTATTTAACTATAAACACGTCAAACATAATGTGACAAGTAAATTAAATGTCAATTGAAGAACAAAAAAAAGCTTGTTAGAAAAAATTAACTTTCATGACAAATCCAAAACTCAAGTTTTGTTAGATATACATCATGTAATAGACTAGAAGAATCTTCTTAAAAACAATATATTAGATAGGGGCACAAATGCACAATTGTTATTAAGTTGGTTAGACTTATAACCAATTGTATAAATACTTGTACTCGGTTCATTTGAAATCAATCTGAAACAGTATTATCTCCTATCTTCTTCCTCTCCTCTTATTTGTCTAATAAGTTTGCACTATGTTTCTATAATCATTAGTCACTATAGTTATACTTTGGTTTAATAATTTTGCGAAACGTTTAATTTAATCATCAAGCAAAATTTGCAACGTCTACTATATACGAGTATATCGTTTAATTTGAAGCCTTGAAGGATATTTTGGATGGGATCGCTCCACACGTAGGACTGTTTATAGACTATGTAGATTGTTGCCTCGTCAATATTACGGTCAGACAAATTCTGGCTTGAAAAGGGAAAGTAAAAGAGAAACACCATAGTTATTGAGCAATATTGAGCTTTGTGTATGTTTTGGACTTTTGGTTCTAGATAAAACAATTTCTATTTTAAGATTATAAGATCAAATTTCATCTTTATTGCATTGTTTGAGTTTTGTTCGTTTTCATCTTATATTAAGATAACTTTTGAGATCAAATCGGAACTAATTTAAATCACATCAAATTAGACAGGATTAACAATTTCAACTTTGCAATTTGTACATATTCTTATATTCATCCCTATGTGAGACTTTTTTATCTGTGAATCTCATTTACAGACAAAATAGGCATATTTTTGTTTTTGTAAATGTTCACAGACAAAAACATGTTTGTTTTGTTTGTAAATCCCGTTCACATACAAAAATAGCACGATACAGAATGAGTATAAGGGGTGTTTTGATCTGATTCTTAAAACTGCTTCGAAACAGAAGTTGGAGTATTTGAGCGAAAATGCAAAAATGATTCTGGTGCTCTAATTTACTCCTATAATAAGTTTTTTTTAGAAACTAGGAGGAGACCAGCTTTTGAAGATGTATTCTAATTCTGTTTCTGCTTTAAAAAAGAAGCAGAATCAGTTCCAAACACCCCTGCGCGTGGGTACATATAGAATTTTTCTAAGTAGGGAAAAGGGGCAAATAAGCCCTCGAACTAATAAAAAAAGTGCAAATAAGCCCTTTTATAGGAGGTTCCGTCTGGCCATCGTAATTTGGGGAGGTTCCCGGTGGAATTTCTTGATGAAAATTCTTGAGCATCTTATTCATTAAGTCTAGTTTAGTCATACCGAATTTCAGCTAAAAATTCAATCGGGAAGACAGTCAAATGAATTTTTGAAGATAACTGCGCAGTTAAACAACACAGTATATTTTCGAAAATCATTTGAGTGCCTTCCCGGTTTAATTTTTAGCTGAAATTTGGTATGGCTAAACTAGACTTGATGAAGAAGATGCTCGAAAAAATCCATCAAAAAATTCCACCGAGAACCTCCCCAAATGATGATGATCAGTCAGAACCTCCTACAAAAGGACTTATTTGCACTTTTTTGATTAGTTCGAGGGCTTATTTGCCCCTTTTCCCTTCTAAGTATTTTACTTCAAAAACGTACAAGAAAAGGTGAGAGGGGGTGACTTACGAATCACGGAGGGGTTGACCCCAATCGCTCCATCCTTGGGGCAGAACAAGAGCGTCTAAGTAAGAAAATGAGAAGATGACCCTCGAGTAATCGCCCCAAGCTCGGCCCAGGTAAACCGACCCGGTCCCGGTGACGGTGCAGTTGGTGAAAGAGAACCCACTCGCGAACGACTTCGCCGTCCGCTTCTGCGCCGTGAGGGAAGCGGCGACGCCGTTCTGCGCCACCGACTTGAGGTGGCAGTTCTGGTAGAGGGATCGGCCGTAGCCGAAAATGAAGTCGACGGCGCCCTGGATGAAGCAGTTTTTGAAATAGTGGAGGCCCTTGTGGTCGTAGAGGGTGTCCTGGCTGCCGTAGAAGCCGCAGTTGAAGAAGGCGGCTTTCGTTCCGGTGATTCGGAGCGCCACCCCTTGCTCGCCGTTCACCGATCTGCCCACGTCAGCTTTCGCCGTGTTCTGCACTATCCATCATATCACATGCATGTATGGGTTTAACATCATCACATACGTATTCACGTACAATTAATTCACAATTCAACAACTTCAATCAAAATTTAACAAATTTCAATCAAATTTCAACAACTTCAATCAAAATTTAACAAATTTTAATAGCTAATTCAGGACAAGAAGTAAACTTTATTCCTATTTAAGAAAATAATAATTATATTCTTGTGTTTAGGAAGAAAACACCTATGTTTTCCCCTACATAAATTTATACACTACTCTTGTTACACATCCTCACATAGTCACATCCATTGTTATTTTTGTCTTTCTTGGTGGAAGGTAATACTTAGATCGACCTATAAAAGATGGAACTAAAAACAATGTGATATTTTGGAAGGATAAAGACCCTATCCATCATTCCAGCCTATTGGATAGGATCCTCCGTCCAGCCGTCGCGGTTAGGGGCGATCCTTGATGTATTTTTGATCATGTTCTTCATGAAGTGTAAGTTGTGTCTACAAAATTTCAGCTTCATAAATTCTACGGGAGAGATAGTTAAATAATTTATTGAAAAACGTTGCACTTTTGTACGTAAATATAGTTTGACATTGGTCAATAATTTATTTAACCGACTTTTCGATTGAATTTTAAACTGAAATTTTCTGGACATAATCCACACGTCATGAACAACACCTCTAAAAATTTCTTCAAAAAATTCCAATCAGAAATCACACCAAAGAGCAGCAACCAAACATAAGGTCATAATATGCATCCCACCGGGATGAATGAAATCATAAATTGGAGTGATGGAGCTAATCAATTACCTCAAAAAGGATGTTGACGGCAACAAAATAGTCGGCATCGATTGCGACGGTGGCGCTATGGAAAGTCCTCAAGGGCCGGCCGTCGCGTCCCATGTCGGAAGCGGTGTCGTTTCCGGTGATCTTTGGCGGATCACTTGAATTCCCGGCTATTAATGTCACAAATGGCAATTTCTTCGATATGTGGACCTTTTCCCTGCAAAATCAGGGAATTCAACATTTTTATATAATATGTCTATGTACAAATAATGTCGAACAACACAAGTCATGCACGTACGTATCTTCTTAGAGACAAACTTTCATTGTAACAATTACATCATTCTAAGATCAGAGCATCTGGCCATTCAGTCGCGAAAAGCACGAGTTCTCGACGGGAAGGAGCGGAAGTGTAAACTGTAAAATCATACATATTATTCCGTAGATGTATACTCCTTTATTTTTTGCAAAAATATTACTAAAATAAAACTTATTTACACAAATATGACTATTAGTTACTACAATGTAGTATTATAGCAACTTAAGTTTAAAATTGAACATTTATTACTAGGATTTCATTACTATTCTAGTCACTAATCACATTTTTGTAAAGAGCTTTCATTTTAGTCACAAATATGAAATTGAGTTGCAAATTTGACTATTTTAAGTCAAACAATCTCATTTTATTCACCCAATTAGAATACTCCTAAATTGAGTTGCAAATTTGACTATTTTAAATCAAACAATCTCATTTTATTCATCTAATTAGAATACTAATTCTTGATTGAATTTTAATTTGAATTATGCAACTTTATACAGATTCTAATGTATCATTAGTTTCTGAATATATAAATTTTAATTATTAAATTGGAATTATTTATCAACAAGAAGGGTTTAACTTTAACTTGACAAAAAAATGTTGACTTTACAAAATAAATTAGGATTTGAAGGTAGTATTAAAATTTTCGAGTAATTAGGGGTGTTTGCAATTAATTCTTTTAATTTTCTATTTGCTTTAAAAAAAGAAAAGCAAAATCATGATCAATTTTTTCAGTATTTAGTTTCTCCGTTTAAAAAAAATGTTTCTAAGAGCAATATAGTGCATTCAAATTAAAATACTTCTGCACTTTTTTTGATTAAAAAAGAAATGCTTCTGCACTTTTATCTAAACGTACATTTTAATATCCGATTCTGCTCTGTCATTCCCATTCTATTAGGGTGTTGGACGCTGATCCCATTCAATTATGGTTCTCATGATCCTAGCTAGGTTTTTGTTTGATCGATCACATTTTTTTTATTTGAATAGTCCTTGATTACCTCTAATTTTACAACAAAAAATTGAATTCATCATTTATTGATCATTACTATCTAATACTCGTATTAAATTCAGCAATAATATACGATAAAACTACTTTCGCTCGATTAATAATGAACTAAAAACGATTAATATATATCGACAACTAGAAACGACTGAGTGGATCATCATATTGAATTTGGTATAATGAGCCGTGAGATCTGACAAAATTTTAATCAAAACCGGATTGAAAACTCTAAGCAATCACGATGCATGTCTCGATCTATTACATTAGTTCTTAATTATCCTCTATGTTTTCATCAGTCTTTTGTTCTTCAATTTTTCGAGTCACGTCCCTCACGGCCTCACCTCAAAGTTTTCTGTCTTGTTTAAGTTGTTTAATAGGATGGTATACTATGTTGCACGGAAACGCAAAAAACATAAGGAAACGGGAAACGTCAACTTTTGTTCAAAAAAGGCCTATTGGAGAGTTTCCAAAGAGTTTACGAGAGTTTCCGAAACGAGAAACGTACTCCTTCCCGAGAGTTTCCGTGCTACATAGATGGTATATAATTACAATTTCTTCATTGGGATTGATATGAATCTTTTTTTGCGTCCAATTTCGTATAGGTGATTTTTTGCACTTTTCCTTCATTTTCATTTATATGTTTTGATACAAACATTAGTTTTTCTAAAAATAGAGCGTATAATCCAATATTGTCCACAAAATTTGGTGTATAGTAGTTCGTACAAGTACATCATATTTGGTATGTGGTGAAGTTATAGAATTTGCATTAAATTAAAAAACAAAAGACCATTTAAAATAGGAGTAAAACATGGATAAACATCTCGATTAGTGATACCTATAGAGACCAGGTTGAATGTAGATGAGGACTCTCCGAGCATTGTGGGGTGGAATGCTATCAATGGCCTTTTGGATGGTCTTGAAGTCTCCTTTCCCATCTTGGCTCACTCTTATTTCCATCTTATTCATCTCCGCCTCCCTCAGCTTCGGGTCTAGTCGTGGAGATAAACCACCACCACCACGGTTGACATCGGCGGCGGATCCTATTGTCATCATCATCCTCCGCCCATAACTCCTTATTAAGTTCCATTTCTCCAGCTGCCCGTGGCCGGAAGTGTTGTTATCTTTCCGGCCACCGCTGCCTATGGCTCCCAATTGCTGATGATCCACCAGAAGGATCACTAAGATTAACAACTTAATTGATTCCAACTTATTAGTAATATGATAAAAATAGCAATGATTATTAGCCATCTTGTGTATTTCGCACATACTACGTACACATGCATGCATACGGTAACAAATTAATAATAGTAATAGTAATAACAACCACGTACACTAGCTATTGAATAGTATGTAGTAATTAAGCAAAGTGATTAAGTTAATTGCTTTATTTGAGGATGTTTGGGATGGGAGCTTAATTTGCATGCAACTAGCTAGCTAGGATAGTGTGTGTGGTGAATATGTATGTGGTGTGTGTAATAGCGCACGTGTGCCACGTGGGGCAAATCCATGAATTTAGACCTCGAAAGATCAGCGCAGGAGAATATGCCCCTATTTTGAGTTGGTCAAATGTCGGAGATTTGAGGCGGTCAAAGCAGGACAAATTAAAGTGAAGCACAAAAGTAGCTAAGTTAACGTTAAAGGTAGGGATCATTCAATGGGTTAACCAACGTTGTATAATGGGACACGTCTTATTCTAATGAGGTTCAAGATCAATCTTTGTCCCGTGTTAGGTTGTTGTTGACAAAAACGGTATTTACCCTCAGACAGTTGTATGTTGCAGTATCAAAGGTTACCAATCGGTGTGGTTTGAAAATTTTAATTGTTGACAAAGATGAAAGAACCACTGACAAGACTCAGAATGTTGTATTCAAAGAAGTGTTCAACAATGTTTAGGTTTACATTAAATGCATGTTTACAATGTTATGGTTTCAACGTTTTTATTGGATGTTTTAGATCTTTTAAGTAATTCTTAGTACCCTCATTTTGACCATATTATGATAAGGGTGTTGCGTTTAATTCTTTGATGTATATCAATATTACATGAAGATAGATAATGCCATCAATTGATAGTATGATTTGAATTACTAAGCACACATAAATTTGAAAGAAAAATTCTCAAACTGTGCATCGCACGGGTGAGTTTACTAGTTAAATAAGAGTAAAAGGTAGTCAATAATCACAAATAGGATTGCATATTTTTTAACTCACTAGTAGGACTAATTATGTGTGTTTGGACAAATATACCCTTGTAGCTATTGAAATGTTTTAATTCAAAATAAAATCATAAAAATAATTAAAAATAATAATAAAAAGTTTAAAAAGAAAATTATTTTTTAAAAAAAATTTAAACTAAAAAAACGTTTAAAAAAATCACCTCTGTCTCTCCCACCCCAGCAACACCACCATCGGTCACCGGGAAAAACAATTCCACATCTATTAGTAATGTCATATTAATGGCAGATTCAATGAAAATTTTTGCATTATCAAAGAGTAATATGTCAATTTTTTTTTTACATTTTCGGGGAAAAATGATTTTTTACAAAAACTGGCATTTTTTTACAACAGTCAGAGTCTCGGAGATGGTGGTGCAGGAGGCAGTACAGGCGGTGGGAAATGCATCCATATTTTTGTTTTAATGGTTTTTTAATATTTTTATTAATTTTTTATTTTTTTTTTTTAAATTCTTTTAATTTATATTTTTATAAATATTTTATTATTGTTTTATTATTTTTCTATGATTTTCATTATTTTTATGATTTTACTATGAATTAAAATATTTAACTATGACTCTTGATTACCTATTACTCCTATATAAAAGGAGAGGTAAGAATGGAATTAAAAAATATGTATGTCTTAAAATATGATCCTATTTTTGAACATAAACATAAGAAGTCCTATTTTTATTTTTACTCTAGTTTTATTCCTACTTGAGATAATTTCTAGTAAGAGTAATAAATAATACATCTTCAAAGTATCCTTATCATGATACATCACTATTTTTTTTATATCACGGATCATGTAATATTGAAGCGTAAAAATACATTACACCAATTATAATGATACTTGTGGATTTTAGCAAAAAAAAAAAAAGACACGTGAACTAATTGTTGATTGATATCACAGAAATAAAATAAAGTTTAATCATCAAGTTACACAACTGGCTTTCCAAAATTAATTTACCATTATGTGTGGTGTTATCGGCCCGCTTATGTATGAGGAAGGTTTGTAGACTTGTAGGTGGGGTAAAGACCAGCCCTACAGGAAAAAGTAAATGGTTGATTGGAGAAGGCTCTTTATCGGACAGGAATTCACAGGGGTGGGATGATCAAGGGTCGAATGGAAGAACACATGGGGATAAGGAAGACAGTAGGGGCGGAGCCAGAGCACTGGGCCGGGCTGAGCCGGTACAAAGAATATTTTTAGGAAAAATTTTACACGAAATTTTTTACCTTAAAAATTAAGCCATTTTTAAAATTTGGGGTGGGCCATGGCCTAGGTTGGCCCACCCCTAGCTCCGCCCATGGAAGACACGGTGGACTCGGGTAGCGGCTCTAATTGGGAAGTGGTTCTGAAACATAATGAAGAATTCTCTGGAGAGCAGAAATGCAGGCGTATCTGGGAAGTAGGGACAAATAAAAAACAAGGAGGGGACGAGATGGCACTGGATGTGATAGAAAATGGAGAGGAGACAGGCTTAGAGGGGTAAGCTTATCAAGGGCAGAAACGTGGCATGTGGAGTCCTATTGGGGCTGCATTGTTCTGATTGGAGGATCCTATCATTTTATTTTTTATTGCTTTATGTTTTACATTTCCGACTGTTCTTTATTTTCTTGTTGGTTTTGTTGCTTTGGTTCTGTTTGATTACCATCATTGGCTCTGGTGTGCCCATTTTTGGATCAACGAGTTATATTACTGAGGTGATTGATTCCGACTCTGGTTCGCGGGACGACGGTTCTCTCAAGTTTGATTGTCTTCTTACCTACTCTCCAAATAGTTTGATATTAGGGGACGTTTGGTAGGATGTAAAATAATTACTTTGCATGCGAAGTGTAAGGACGTAAAATGTTTACACTGTTTGGTTTGATTATTTAATGTAAACGGTAGGACACTTTTTTTTAAAACATTTTGCACTGTACCACGTAAAGTATTTTACGTGGGGGGTGGTAAAATACTTTGCATGCCTGTTGAGGTTTATTCCTTCAACCCTCGGGTCCAACACGTAAGCCCAAGAGTTTCGAGTGGAGTGTGTGTGAATAACTAGCCCAACTAACAAGTGAGATGGATTAAGAAACAAGAGGAAGCAAGTGAATGATTAGGTATTATTAATCTGTTAATAACTCCCCAATACAGTACTTTTCGCTAAAGGCTCGTCGGCCGTTTGTCTTACAAGGCAATAGAAGTGCTGCAGGTAAGAAGGCTATAAGCTAGAGTGCTAAGAATAGAAAGTTGCTAACCCTTTACAATGAAATAAATGCTGCTATTTATACTACCAATGGGCAGCTGGCTATGCTGACGTGGAGGATTGTGGATGGCTGGTGTCCCAACCACCAAATCTTCAGCATTAAATGCGCTTCCCGCCAGAATCCAGATTCCCGGCCTAATTAGTGGGGACGTTCATCCAGCTGGGGAGGTGAGTCGATCCTGGTGATATTGCAAAGGGTATTGGGTCGTTCGTCCCCTGGCCCTTGGGGGATTTGCCATGTGGACTGGATTGCCTCCAGTGGTTATGGGCTTGCTCCGACGACGTTCGTCGTCATTCATGTGGCCTGTGGGCCTGTTTCCTGTCAACTGGGTAGATGTTCGTCGGCGTGGCTGGTAAGCCCAGGTTTTGGTGACGACGTTCGTCCCTTCCAAGTTGCCTGCTAGCTCAGCCTACCGGTTGTCAGACGTACGTCCTTGGAGGAATTCCTCACTTTCGAGGCATTTGCCGCAGCAGGAATAGGTACCGCCCGTGTCTCTGGACTCTCAATTCCCCTCTACGCTCGTCTCGGGGCACTGGGCTGTCCTGTCCTCTGAGGTGAGTGTTCGTATTTAAGTCCTTTGTTTGATTCCTGACATCTTATGTTCTTGTTTTTCAGCTCTGCCCCCTACTCAAGCCCAAATGAATCACGCCAAACTCCTGAAGAACCGGAAGGGCAAGGGTGCTGCTGCCGACGCCGCCCTTGCTAAGGCCAAGGCTGTCCAAGCGGCCGATTCTAACTCCTCCGCCTCCCAGGCCGATCGTCGCACGGTGGAGGTGGAGCAGCATCTCATCGCCACCGTGATGGCGCAGGGGTCCCAGGCCCCCAACGTTGACTCTGGCGTCCCCGAGGTGGTGGCGCCCCTTCAGACCGTCCATCCCCAAGGCGGGGAAAAAGTGGAGGACAAAAAGGCGAAAAGGCCTCGGGGGGCTAGCTCTTCGGCCCCCGAAAAACAAGAAATGGTCCTCCCTCCCCTGGGACGTTCGGCCCATGATGTGTAGCAGGAAATCGCCTCCTTGGTTGGGGTGGAGGTGCCTCCCCGGACGTCTTCAGAGGCTTCAAATGCGGCTCTGGCCGCCGCTCTTCAGGTAAGACTCTGCCTTATGTTGAGTAGTTGATTATTTGTAGACTGTGGACTCGAAGTCTTATATTCGTGTTTGATTTGCTGGTCGGGCTATCTGTGCTGCAAGCCGAGGCCGTGAGGGATGCTGAGGCCCTTCAGGCCAAAAACAAAGCGGATGCCGCTTTGAAGAAGGTGAGGGAGGCCGCCCGTCTTCAGGAGTAGGAGGTGGCCGCCAAGGAGACAGAGCTACAGGCCGCCCTGAAGGCAGCTCGGGAGTCTGCAGAACAGGTGGCCGCGTTTGCGAAGACTGGGTTCGCACTCGTCCCTGTTCTTCCTGCTCCCAAGGATGGCCCCCCCCGAATGGCTCGTCGATACCTCTGGATATGAGAATACTGGGGCCTTCATGGTTGCCGCCCAGAGGTACTGTGGAGGTGCGTTTGGCGATGTTTTCTCCGCCGAGCTGCAGAAGCAGGCCTCGAAGGACCGTCTCAAGTTCGGGGTCCGGGTCTTGAAGAGCGCCCCTTTGTCAGAGAAGTTCTTGTACGACGTTGGAGATAGTTCCTTCGCCATTGGCTTCAACGAAGGGGTAAAGGCTACCTTGCCTATATTTGCCGAGCTCCAAGGCCCCGGCTTCAATCTGGCCCAACACACTAATGACTCTGAGCTGCTCCGGACCTTGGGCAAATTGGAGCGCGATGCCCGTCGAGAAGAGGCCAAAGCCAAAGGGGAGATTCCGGAACCTCCGACCCCTGACCCCGAAATTGAAGAAGAGGAAGACGTTCCCGGCAGGTCCCGGCCGATTTCCCCCAATTTTGTTTGATGTAAACTATAATTTCTTTTGTTCTGATTCTGTAACATCCAGCCAGTAGAGCTGAGGAATACACAACTCTTTTTGCCC